GAGGTAGGGGAGCAGGTGGGTGGGGAGGCAGTAAAGGGGCAGGTGGTGGGAGAGGTGGGGGAGGCATATGGTGGGCCTGTAGTGGGGGAGGCAGTGGGGTGGTAGGTGGTGGAGAAGGAGGCAGTGAGGGTGACAGGGCTTCACTTACCCTCCCTTGTTGCTGCCCCCAAAGCCTTTCCCTCCTTCCCACCAACCCACAGTCTCTGCTTCCTGCAGGCGCCTCCTACCCCTTACCCTTCCTCTGCACGGGCAGGTTTCATCCCTGTCTCAGCCTGAGCCTGTAGCAGAAGTGTGGAACCAGCATCACTGCTACGGGGCTGGGCTGGGGCTGTGCCCTGTGCCCCAGGCTGCAGTGTGAATGGAGCCTGATGACTCAGGGGAGAGATGGAGGGCAAGGAAGGTAAGGGCCCAAGGCTGGTGGGGGGTGGAGGGGGCAGGCATAAGCAGCAGAGGGGAGACAGGGGAAGTAAGGTGGGGGTAGGAGATGGGGCAGGGGTCTGAGACTTCAGGAGGAAGGGCAGGGGTTGCAAAGGTAGTGTAGTGGGCAGGCAGCAGCTGTAGCTGCAGCTCCAACCCTGACCTGGGTTTGGGGCCAGGGCCAGAGCCAGAGCTGTATCAACTTCCCCCACCCCTCACCACTACCTAGTACATGATTTCAAAACAAGGGGCTTTCCCTCCCAGGTTAAATGAGGGGGTGGCAGGGGGGAGGAAATCTTGTCTTGGAATCAAGTAAGTACAGTATCCTGTTAGTTTGCTCAGTACCAGTATGTCAGTTAAAAGTCTGCTCATTCTTGTCACTCTATTTTAATATGTTTTAAATACTGTAGTGTTTCAAGAGTTGCTTCTCTGATTATGCATGACAAACCTGTAACAACAGTCGGTAGGCTTCACTTTTCACCTCAAATAGCTTGATGTTAGTTTCCCTAATATTAAAAGTCTGTGCCTTCCACTGCATGTTTTCTGAAAGTCTTTTATTTGTTCATCCCATGGTTTTATTGCATTGTTGCAATCTACTTTTTAGCAAAATTAAGGGGTGCAGTTTATCTTATGAAGCTTACAGTCTGTTTCTTCACTCCAGCAGAGATAGATATTGCACCCCCATTGGTCTGAACCAAGACAAATAATGGTGGATATTGCTTTCAATCTCCGTATACTTCTGCTCAAAAGCCCTTATCTTATTTTCTTTCAGTGTCTGGGATAGCTAGCTGGGCTTGTTAAAGTAAATGTCTCCTTGTTATGCCTTCTGGTTTACATATCCAAGGGCCAGATCCTCCAGCAATTTTGTTCTCTTTATAGAAGCTGAGAGCCATGGGCTCAGAGAAGCGTCTTTGGAGATGGATGAAAAAGACTCACGGATGTTGGTTAGAAGAAGATGTTAAAATAAAAACCCTGTCATATTGCTGTGGATTAATATGAATTGTTAATTGCTTTGAAATTTGATCTTTCTGTGAAGACCAACTGTTAGTCACAGTATATAGAGATGGGCTGGGACTGAAATGTGTTAGGCAAGTTGTCCAGACATCTGCAGATAATGCCCAGCAATCAGGTTAAATCAGCCAGCTTGGTATTGTATGTATCTGACAATTCAATAAATTACCCAGAAATAAAAATATGGGTAGTTCCTTGTTGCAAATTATCTGGATTCAGTACCTCTTCCAAGATGTGATGCAGGAAAAAAATTGAAGTGGGAGAAGATCAAAAGAAAGAATTGTAAGGAGTGTAAAATAATATTTTAAATTGTTCTCTGAACTTATTTCTTTCCCATATCTCTTCCTTCATCCCACCACTCTGAAATAAGGAAGTGGGCATATAGTGTGTTGTATGGAAGGGCTTGCTCCACCGTGCATGCAGCTGTGTATATTTTTCACATAGAAGTGTGCCAACTCATATTAGCCAGTCAGCAGACAGGGATCTTTTTTCTCTTTTTTTTGGTGTAGAATCACCTACTGTTAATCAAAAAAAGATAGATCAGTTTATTCATTGCTAATAAATGTAGTTGTCTTCACTGCGTCTCTTGGCCAGTCTTATACTCTGAGGTGCAAGTAATAGGGGCAGATGTATTATCTGGGAAGTTTTCCAAATTCATCTTTAAAAAAAGTTAGGCAATAAACACTGGCTGCACTAAGCAGCATCCTTCTGTCTGTAACAAAGCCTCCAGCTGCACAGGAAATGTGCTCTGAGTACACATTAGATGAAGAGGAAGTCAGGTAAAGAATCCAGTTTTTTTTTCTTTCAGAGCTGTCCATAAGTGACTTCCAAGTTCCCCAAATTGTAAAGAATATTTCCTTACTCAGAGGAATGTATAAGGTACCCATTGATATCATTTCACTGAAGAGACAGACTGAATTATTCCAAGGACTCATGCCCTACTTCTGTGTTTTCTACTTTCCACAGATGGGCACCAGGCAATCTGTTATTATTTTGGCTTTATCTATTCCCTCATCACTATAATATCTGAACATGTCACATCACCCCCATGAAATATGATATATCTATGATATATACCTGCCTCTACTATCAGCTCCATGTTATATGGAGCAGAGATTTGAGCTTGTATTTTTCAAGTTCTAGGTTAGTGTCCACATTCCACTTACCTGATGCTACTTTAGGTTATATCATATTAGCATTTCTGGTACTGTTCTGCTAGAATTTGGGGGGGTTCCCAAAAGACATTTTGTGTTATGAGAGGTACTAAATTGAGAAAGGTCAGTGTGGTGGCTTTTATAACCATCCTTGAACAATCACTATCTGCAGAAGGTGGAAGTATCATGACTTTTCTGCCCTAACATATTTATGAAACATTCTGGCCAGCATACATGTTTCCATTGAGCAAAGGCATAACAAGGCTTCTGAGCACCCAGGGCAGTGGGACACATTGGGGTGGTGGCAACTTCCAGCTGCTGCCAGTGCAATTGTGCAGCTGTGGGGGCAGTTATAATTTTTATGTCCCCTTGCTAAATTGGTGCCTGGACCAGCTGTCTCAGTCTCCCTACCCTAGTTACACTACTGCCATGAGTTTGAGGTCTGCTTAGAAGCTTTATTTTTTAAGTGACTACTGTTTTAATAATGTGTCCATATAGTTCAGATTTCATATGGTAAAGAAAAAATATTGACTTCTCTCTCTCTTTTCCGCCTCATTCATTTAGTACCTAGTTAAGGAGGGGAGTTACAGTTTAAAATGTCTCGGCTTCATTTGGAGTTGGACTCTTTAGGATGAAATTTTCAAAGGGTCTCTTCAAATATGCTTATTTTCATACATAAAAACTCACATGCAAGTGTAAGACAGTAACCTGGGAAATTAACTTCTTATGCTCTGGATGCCGTGTTTGTAAATACATTTTTTCAGAGGGTCCTCAAAAATTCACTCAGTAGAATGTAACTTACCAATTAATTATCATTTTGTTGCAGTTCACAGTTGGTATTGCCCACGCCCATCCAATTAAAGTCATTAATTTTCCAAAGTTATTAGAAAATTTGATTCTATGTTTTCTTCTTACCTATCAACTTTCCTCTTAATAGATAATCATGGTCCCAACAGCAGTAGAAATGCTTTTCTGCTGATTTGATGGTGGCCTCTTTGCTTTTTAAGAGGCGGCTTAACATGAGAATATGAACAGAGGCCAAGGCTAGAATTCTTTATTTAGATTATTTTGGGGGTGTTGGTTGTTGCTGTGTTGCTCTAAAGGCACAGGCAGACATGGTTATTTTGGCAAATGTGGTATCTTTTATTAGACCAACCGAATATTTGGAAAAATTGTTCTTTACAAGTTTTTGGGCACTATTCAACTGTAGAGAGGAGACAAACACCAGCAGACTCTCCCTATGCCTGAAGAAGGGTGCTTGTGCCTGAAAGCTTGTA